AAAAAAAAAAAATCAAAAAACACAGTTTCTGTGAAGTGTTATAAAATAAAAAAACAGTTCAGCTGGGCATGGTAGCTCACGCCTGTAATCCCAGCACTTGGGAGGCTGAGGCAGGTGGATTGCCTGAGCTCATAGGTTCAAGACTAGCCTGAGCCAGAGTGAGACCTTGTTTCTAAAAATAACCAGGTGTTGTGGCAGATGCCTGTAGTCCCAGCTGCTTGGGAGGCTGAGGCAAGAGAATTGCTTAAGCTTAGTAGTTAGAGGTTGCTGTGAGCTATGATGCCACAGCACTCTACCAAGGGTGACAAAGTGAGACTCTGTCTCAAAAAAAAAGAAACAAAAACAACAGTTCAATAAAACATGGTATACCTGGTAATTGGTGCTGAAGCTCAAATATACATTCTGCAATGTGTAAGACCGTCTTACACTACTGAAGACTTTCCTGCTCCGAATACCAATAGTGAGTGCCCTTGTTGAGAGACACTGGTCTTTTACTTATTTATTTATTTATTTATTGAGACTCTCATTATATCACTCTCTATAGAGTGCTATGACGTCCCAGCTCACAGCAACCTCAAACTCTTGGGCTTAAGTGATTCTCTTGCCTCAAACTCCCAAGTAGCTGGGACTACAAGTGCCCGCCACAATGCCCAGCTACTTTTGGTTGCAGTTGTCATTGTTTATTTTAGCTGGCCCAGGCTGGGTTTGAACCTGCCAGCCTCTGTGTATGTGGCTGGCACCCTACCCCCTGAGCTGTAGGCACCACCCGAGACACTGGTCTTAAGAAAAAAAGGTGAACCTCCCAGATTTGCCATTCTTTTGCTCTGGCTTTCTCTTGTGCCTCTGCCACTTGCCAGGCCTGCCCTACAGATCAACTGCAGTTGCTCACCACCATCTCCTTGAACCTGACCTTATTCTTTCAAGTATCCAGTCCAGGCATAGACCTTTCCTCCACCAGGAGTGCTTTTCCTTCCATCTAGCAAAGCTTCATCCTCTGAATCCTCTTGGTCTTGCCTCTTGCCCCTCTGGAAAGACCTAGACCAGATCCTTCTTGCCTTAACCATATCTTCAGCCGTCATCCATCATGGTGACGTGCATTTGTTAGGCTGGGTTGGACTTGAGTCAGTAATAGGTGTGAAAAATTTTACAAAGTTGCATTGCTTAACAGGGATGTGGTCGGAGAAATGCGTTGTTATGGGATTTTTGTCCTGTAGACATCGTAGTGTGTTTATACAAGCCTAGATGTTACAGCGTACTACACACCTACACTGTTTGATATAGCCTATTTCTCTAGCACAAGGAAGCTCCTACCTTGCAAACTGCAAACTGTATTGAATACTGTAGGCAGTTGGAACACAATAACAAGTATATCTAAACATAAAAAATATGCAGTGAAAGTACAGTGTTATACTCTTATGTGACCATGTTATATATGCTAATTATGGTTGACTGAAATGTCATTATACAGCATATGACTGTATTCTCAAGTGGCATATAGTACATGCAAATTTGGTATCTGAAACTGCTAAGAAAATCATTTGTACCACTTAATCATGGTGAGAGTCCTATGAGATTAGGCAGGGCAGAGAGGATGGAGACAGGCCCTTGGGGTACATGAGCCCTGCTTCCTCAGCCCTTCTGCCGGTCTCAGCCTGCTTGCGATTTTCCTTATACGGGTCCCTGTTTTGATCTCTCACTTCCTTCAAACCACCTCTACCCCATTCACGTCCCTTACACCCCCTATAGGCTGCCCTAGATGCTGGCTTGGTGGGGAGGTGTGTCCCTGTGAATGAGATGCAGGAGATGGGGAGCTGAGATTTGTGTCTCTTTCAGAGCAGTGCAACCCTGAAACTCATCCTGCTGAGAGAAAAATAAGATCAGCTGTTCCTGCAAAAACTAGCAGGCCTGTGGAAAATAAAGGTGGGTTGATTGACTTCAAACAAAGCTAGAAGGAGTTTCAAACAGAGTTAAGTCAAAAGGAAGGGAAAGGGGAGACTGGGCTGGGCAGGACTCCACACTGATGCTTCATGGAGGAACAACAGCTTCCTGAGCCCTGATCTTTGGGAGTGGGAGCCCTGTCATCACAGGTGAGGTGAGAGGGCAGCCTGAGAACATTGTTTAGTAGAAAAACAGGCAGGAGAAAGGCCCGGCCAAGGGTAGGGCATTGTGGTGGGCCCTACTGGCAGGAGCCATCTCTACTCACAGCTCTGGGCCTCCCTCCACGGGTGTGGCTGGGCTGTCAGTTCACACTGAGCTTGGCCCAGGTAGGAGCTTCCTTGTCCTAGATCACCTCACTGCTGCTGGGGGCTCCTCAGAGCTTACAGCAATAGTGAGCTGTCAGCCCATCCATCCATCCAGGTGTTCTTTAATACCTCCTGGGTGTCCTGCACCATGGCAGGCTCTAAAAGCACCTCCTTTTGTTGAATGTTCACAGCAAGGAGATGGCTCCTTTTTGCCCCTGGAGAAACTTCCAGGTTGGATTCAGGTAATACCAGCAATTTCTGTCCATGTGGAAAGGAGACTATTTGGAAGGTTTGAGGAGAGAACCCAGTTTATTGGCCCGTGATAGAGCTGGAGCCATGAAGAGGGGAGAAAGGGGAATAAGCATCACAAAACCAGGCTCTATCCCCATAGACCACAGGGAAACGTATAAAGTATGTGAACCTAGGATGCATTTGTTAAAATTTCCAATTTTTCTTTCACTTACCTTCCTTTTTCTTAAAGAGGAGTGTTAGTCACAGACTCCAGAGAAGAGAGAGGATTTTGGTTTGTCTAAACCTGCGTGTGTACGCCACCTGCTGTTACACACGTGTGCACGTACATTATCTTGTCTGTTGGTGTAGTTGTTAAAATCTGCCCAGGCCTCCTTAGTCATAAGCAGTTGACTGTACTATGTATCCCTAGATGATGATTCCTCGGTAGCTGATTTTCTCAATAGTGATGAGGAGGAAGACAGAGTTTCTTTGCAGAATTTAAAGAATTTAGGTAAGTCTTTGCTGTGCTTGTTCATTAGTTAACCACTGAGATGTATTTACTGTTATGAAATGTGATTTTTTAAAAGTTAATTAAATCCTTGGGCGGCACCTGTGGCTCAGTGGGTAGGGAGCTGGCCGCATGTACTGAGGGTGGCAGGTTCAAACCCAGCCCCAGCCAAACTGCAAAAAAATAGCCAGGTGTTGTGGCAGGTGCCTGTGGTCCTGGCTGCTTAGGAGGCTGAGGCAGGAGAGTTGCCTAAGTCCAGGGGTTGGAGGTTGCTGTGAGCCATGTGATGCTACGGCACTTTGCTGAGGGTGATAAAGTGAGTCTCTAAGAAATTTAAAAAGTTATTAAATCCTTCAGTGTGGCATGCGGGACCTTTCTTCTCAACCAACTGATGCTGGAAACATACAGGATTTGACACCTCCCAACCTGCCCACAATGCTATTCCTTCTGCCTGGAATCCTACTGGTTGGCAAAATTCTGCTCCTACTTTAATGCTTGATTCAAGGTTTCTTTTCTCAGGCCTTTCTTGATCTTTTGGCTCTTTGAAAACTAGGTGCCTTTTGGCTTTGCAAATGCCTTGGACTTAATATACCACTCTCATTTTATGATAATTTGCCTCACGTACCAATTTGTATGGCAGGGACCTGTATTTCTACATCCTCGGGGCTCATTTGACAGTCCAGCCACTAATGCAGACTAATAATCAAACGGCTTGATTTTTTTTTTAGGGGTAAGTGGGTGTTGATAGTGCCCAGCATGTTTGTACCACTGCTTGTTACATATGTATAATGAATGGGCTACTGTAGTTCCTGGAGGGTTGCATTATCTTCATTCTTCCCATTTCATAGAATCAGGCTGAAAAGGCTGTGCTTTGTACTCAGGCCTATGTTTATGATTAGTTAGGCTGGGTTGGACTTGAGCCAGTAATAGGTGTTAATAATGTTACAAAGTACCATACAGGTGTGTGTTCACTGCCCGTCCTGTTGCACACTGGATCACATGCTTGGACACTGTTCAGAAGATTTGGTGTAGCTCTTCAGCACTGAGAACCTTCATGCTTATAAAGAAAGGAAGTATACCAACAACTAAATACTATTATTCTATGTATTTGTGCTGATAAAATGAGGTATTCTTAGTTGAAATGGCATGAAGGTACAGTAATTACAAAGATACCAACAGTAATCTGTTACTGTATTTAACTTGGAAATCATTTGATATGCTGATCTCTTTGTGTGTGAAGCTGTGAGGCACTGGGGTTTCTCTGTAAGTTTAAAGGTTAAGGGGTACAGTCTCTTCAAAGTTTTATGTCTGAAACTTTGCTTTTAGCATCTCCATGTGTTCTCATTTGAACTGAGACTGGCTTTTTTCTTGATTTTTAAGAGGAATCTGCAGCATTAAGAAGCTTATTGCTTAATCCACACCTGAGACAACTGATGGTCAGCCTTGATCAGGGGGACGACAAAGCAAAGCTCATGAGAGCCTACATGCAAGAGCCCTTGTTTGTGGAGTTTGCAGACTGCTGTTTAGGAATTGTTGAGCCATCCCAGAATGAGGATTCTTAACATGGATTATTGTGCTGCTTGCTCAAACTTGTCACCCAGAGCTTTCCCACTTCTCCTGGGAGACCACTGGTGTGAGGGCCCTAAGAAAGAGAAGTGACTTCCAAGATACAGACTGGCTGATGGCAGTTATGCAGATCCTCCACCCCTGGGCTCATGTTTCAGGTCCACATCACCTGGATTCATCTTCAAGGTGACATATCCTTTATGGCAAAAAACTTGACGTTCAAATGGTTGTTTTTAAATGTTTTATTTTTGGTACACTTATGATAGACAGTCATAAATGATACCAGTTTTATACCCATTTAAGTTAAAAACTTGATCAGTGTTAATAAAATCAAGATGTGCTGATTCTGTATGTTGCATTGTTCATCTTTGTTCATAATTTCAAAATTACATTAAATAAATAAAGAATTTATTAAATACTAAGGTTTCATACCTTTAAGGAACTAAATGCAACTAAATTCCAGAGCCAGTTTTAGGGTTGGCCCAAAAGTGCTTACGGGGACTCAGGGCCCCCACTGGAATGACAGACAACACTTTAGGATGGATATTCACATCTGCTGTCGATTTGATCTCTGAAGGTAGTAAAGTATGGTAAAGTTCTCTGTGGCCCTGATGTTTCTTAAACCTGGTTTAGTAACTACCAGCTTTGTTGCCCTGTCTGTGCTTGATGTAGACCAGAGCCCCAAGCCCACTGGTGGCCTGGACACACAGCCCTGGGTTGGCCCTGGCTTGTAGGCTGTGAAGCCATTGGTGTCACGTGTGTGGAGTCGCTATGTAATGGGAATAGTTTGGCAGCTGTATGTTGGCTAAATGTCTTTGGCAAGGCAGCTGGCAAGAAAAGGCCTTGTGAGGATCAAAGGCACCAAGGATCACCCTGCCAGGTGAAGGTAGAGGGTGAGAAGAGGTCACACATGGGTCAGCATGTGTCTTTCCAGCAGAATCTGATTAAAGCCAGTAACACTGTAGGGTGAAGGTTCAGGGCAGATGTTGGCATAGCGCAGTGGAGACTTTCTGTAGTGAAACTTTATTGAGCCCTAGGGAAAAAGAGAGATGCAGTTTAGCCCCAGTTCTCAGGAGTCCTAGGGCCTAAAAGGTACCTTACAGAGTGAATGACAGAATTGTAAGGAGTTGTGGACAAATATTTTTCTCCTTATTCTAAAATAGTGGTAAAAGCCCAGGAATGGTGAGTCACACCTGGAGTTCTAGCTATTTAGGAGGCTGGAGCAGGACGATCACTTGAGCACATGAGCTGGAGGCTGCAGTGAGCTATGATTGTGCCACTGCACACCAGCCTGGGCAATAAAGAGAGACTATGTCAATCAATCAAAATATAAATGAATAAATAAAAAAGTCGTTTGGGGCGGCACCTGTGGCTCAAAGGAGTAGGGTGCCAGCTCCATATGCCAGAGGTAGCGGGTTCAAACCCAGCCCCAGCCAAAAACTGCAAAAAAAAAAAAAAAAAATTGTGGCCAAGTCCAAGGCAGTGTTAAAACATAAAATTTTGGCTCGGCGCCTATGGCTCAAGTGGCTAAGGCACCAGCCACATATACCTAAGGTGGCGGGTTTGAATCCAGCCCAGGCCCACCAAAACAACAATGATGGCTGCAACCAAAAAGGGCACCTGTGGTCCCAGCTACTTGGGAGGCTGAGGTACGAGACTCGCTTGAGCCCAGGAGTTGGAGGTTGCTGTGAGCTGTGATGCCATGGCACTCTACCCAGGGGGGATAGCTTGAGGCTATGTCTCAAAAAAAAACATAAAATTTCACATCCATTCAGTGTAAGACAGATGAAAGGAAAGCAAACACTTGTTTACCCAGCAAGGTTAGGGATGGATCGCATCCCAACCTCAGTCCTGCTTCCCCTGTGCACTTCAAGGCTTAGCTTCCTGCCTTCTACAGTGGGGCAGTGGAGTATGAGGAACCCAAAGCTGTCATGGGGCGGAACAGCCATCTGTCATACACAACCTACCTGAGGCAGTGCTCGGATAGATGTGACACCAGCCTGGTCTTGTTGTGCTGTCTGGACAGTGTAATTACTGGAGCTGTCCCTGGGAAGCTGGAGGCAGGCCCAGAATACCAGTTTCCTCTGAAAGCCATGTACTCCTGTAGCAGCATTGGCCAGGACCAGTCCCAGCGGCCAGAGGCGGATTATTGCCCTCAAGAGCCTGGTCTCTACCTGGGGCAAGGAGTTTGAGCAATGGGGAGCTTGAGGGAAGTCTTTTTCTTCTATACCATCCAGTTCTTTAGAAGCAAGGAACGCCATTCTGCTCTTAAAAATGGAAATTGAAACTATTTTTAATACATTATCTAAACAAAGTAAACATCTGGCTGCAAATAGATGGATGCCCTGAACTAAAATGTTTCCAAGTGGAAGAAGTCTGTATACCCTAGGCAACTGGGCCTATACCTCACATGCTACTTTGAAATAAATTAAGTCTTATTGAGATGAAACGAACGTGCCATAAAATCCACTCTTTCCAAGTGGACTATTTCATGATGGGTATATTCCCAGAGTTGCTTCTTCCACCCTTTACACCTTCACAACCAACCTGCAGTGTAGACAGTGTCAAGCCCATTGCATACATGAGGAACACAAGGCTCAGAGAGACTGAACCATCTGCCTGTCCTTGGGGCCACCCTTACTCCACCCGGGTCTGTCGGGTTCCAAACTCTATCCATTGCCCACGCTGACTCCTTGGGGCACACTTACTCTCCATTTCTGCCATGCACGCTTGATGGCTGTGGCAGCTATGTGTAGCCTCTGGATGTGTTTCCGAGCTAACCAGGAACGAATGGCTAAGAGGTTTGTCCAAAAACAGGAAAGAGATAATAAAATGGTCATTAGAGCTATTGGTTGCCTTTTGTTCTGTGGATGTAAATAAAAAATAGAATGAAAAAGAAAATAGAGCTTTCTGTAACATGGCTCTGCAGCAATACCAGAGTTGCTGTAAAAGTCTGAAATAGGCTGGGTGCAGTGGCTCATGCGTGTAATCCTAACACTGGGAGTCTGAGGCAGGTGTTGCTTGAGCTCAGGAGTTCAAGTCCAGCCTGAGAAAAAATGAGACCCTGTTTCTACTAAAAATAGAACAAAAACAAAAACTAGCTGGGCATTGTGCAAGATGCCTATAGTCCCAGCTTCCTGGGAAGCTGAGGTAAGAAGATTTCTTGAGCCCAAGAGTCTGAGGTTGCTATAAGCTATGATGCCTCGGCAATCAACCAAGGGTGACAAAGTGAGACTGTCTCAACAACAATACAAAGTTTGAAGTAGTGTTTTTTCAGAATGGCTATTTTGTGCTATGACATAAGGTAAGATTCTAATGTCAATACATAAAGCAAAAATTGGCTTTTAAAAACATTATTCAAATTGCCCCCACACTTGGAAATAGCTACACTTGGAAGGGCCAGCAGAAGCTCGGACTGGCTGAGACCCAGCAGTCACCTCCCATGTCAGGTGCAACTCAGGGAACAGGTGGGGCTCTGGACGGTCTGTACCCCTTAGAACTGTCTTTGTTTTGAAAATCCTCAGATGAATTTGCTCACTTTATGAGTCTGTAATGTGACAGTACCATGTAATCACTGATAAAATTATTGGACGGGGCTCGGCACCTGTAGCTCACTGGTAAAGGTGCCAGCCACATACACCAGAGCTAGTGGGTTCAAATCCAGCCTGGGCCTGCCAAACAACAATGACAACTACAAAAAAAATGCCACGAAGGCAATGTTAACCAGTTTGAT